GCAACCATTTAGCAGGTAGTAGTTCTGCGGAAAAGAGAATACCAAAATCTCTCAATATTAGCTCTGAGCTAGGACTAATTCTTTGGTACTCACTGTTGTAGAAGCTTTTGATAATCTGGTGTATAAAATGATTCACCTTGTGAATATTAGCCTATATCTCTGGCCATCATAGCATTTCTCAATGGCCATAAAAAAAAAAGTGACCATGATTTCAGGGATAGGAGTTATTTCTTAACCTGAAAAAATGGGCTTTTTATCACTAAGGTTGATAGGGTCACCACTATATATTGGTAATAGCTGAATGGCCAAGTTACTGGCTACAGACAAAAACCTCGAACCCCTGACATGATAAAATACACCTGGACACCTGCTATTCACCATTAAGCAAGCAGATTACACTAAATCACTTCTATTAAGGAGGAAGCAGCTGTCTTTTCTTATTGTGATAAACACTTTTTCTGGATATGAATTTTCCTTCTCCAATGGTTATGCTTCTACAGCAACACCATCATACTAGATTTTTGCTTAGTCATGTTTTGCTTACATCACTTATTTTATAATGAAAGGAGTAATGCAATTGACTGATGCTCTCAGCTCTGGTTTTACCAGGCTATCACATGATGCAAAAGCAGGTGATTTTATAGAATGATTAACTGATGCAGGGAAGAACCATTTTAATTCAAGCTGGTAGATAATACATTGCTAGGTTGCGATGCTATCATCCAGGAATCCATATATGCTCAGAATTACTGATAGAAGTAGGGGGCAGTTTCTTTCTTAGAATGCATACATATAGGTCCATATACATAGGTCTAAGATTAAAAATTTAGACATGTTTGTCAAGAACGAGATGCTTTTCTTTCATAATGGCAGGTGTCTGATTGTATTTGAACATTTATATAATTCCTTTAGCTCAAAATAAAAGGGCATAGTAAGAAATGTTTCAAATTAAGTGTTTAATTTGAATTAAAGACAATTAACCTTTTAAGTTTATGACTAGTGAGATAAAATTACAGCTTTATTATTTTTAACTGACATTAAGATGCTCTTGAAATCAAAACTTCTTTTTCGAAGTCATGCAATAGTTACATTCTAAAATGTTTTCAATAATATAACCATTCTTTGAGATCTTCAGCCACAAAAACACTTGAAACAGTTCCAAAACAATGACAAAAATTCCCCATTCTAATATTAAGAGAAATCTGAAAAAACATGGTAAGTTTTAATAGTCAATTTGAGTATGTTGAAATTACAGCAGGAAAAAATTATTTTCTGTAAATATAAGTATGGTCAAAGAAGTTTTAGAAATGACAAATTTTGTTTAATTACTTTGGCCACATTTTATTTATGTGGAAGTAAACAATGGAGCTTGTTTAAATGTTTTGGTAAATATCCACTATAATTTTTGAAATTTCTACCTTTGTACAATAAAGAATATTGTTAGGATGATTTTATTTGGTGTTCTCAATTTAATTATTGAGGCAGCTGGATTTAAGAGCAACTCTAGTGACTACTTCAATTTCTTTCATTCATTCATTAAAGTTATTTCTGTAGTGACAAAGAGATAAACGGCCACAACTTTCAGCTCTGACATCACTATAAATGCCTACTACATTATTTTCTACATAAATTACTGAACAGATTAGGTATGAATTACAAAAAATTGAACAAACTCTGCTCTTCCCTAAACACAATGCCTTGTGTCAAATATGATTTGTGAGTGACATAGGGATATGATTTTTTAAATCTATAGCTTGCGGTTAAGCTGAGGAGTAGATTCCCTGGGTTTGTCACTTATAAGTCACGTGGCCTAAGGCAAGTTACTTACTATGTTAGTTTTTCCATTAGTTAAATGGGGATAATAGGATTGTCATAGGGATAAAGTAAGTTAAACATGTGAAGCTTTTAGAAAAACATTTTGTACTTAATTAATTTTAGTTATTATGTTATTATCATTATAATTACTATATATATTAGATAAATTTCATTCAACTCCAGGTGAAACTTTTATTTTCTATTTAGAAGAAGACATAATTCGTTCAAATATCATACAGAAGGGCCCTTTCTGACCTATTATTTTGGATGATACTCAAAATTAACACAAATAACTTTACCCACTTATGCATTCTCTTTGTGGACTGCCTCTTTTTGTATTATTTATCTCAATTCATGAGCATATATTAATTACTCAACATGGAAAGAGTCACGAGTTTATGAGAATGCTAGAAATTAAAACATGTAATTCTACTTTAAAATTTCTCACCATCTAACATAAATCAAACTTTCTTGAAGTGTGAGAAGGAAGTACTATCTTCTTGCTTTCTCTCCATGACCAATAAGTAGGTGTTTATAGCAAAAAGGAAAACACAATAGGTGGAAGGATAAACTATTATGTAAAATCTATATTTAGCAACATTTAATAGGGCATTTGGGGGGAAGAGAGGAGATATGTCTAAATTTCAGCCTTGGATATTTTTTGGGTGCTGGGGGAGATAAGAGGTGGTTATGGAACTTAGGGAGTTGTCAATTAATCAATACTCTGTACAAGGAAGGTTTCATAAATCCATCTTCCTTTGACATAATAAAAAAGCAAAAATCCTCCATATCACTACTTTTAAGGAAGGTAGGAAAATGTTTTCCAGGTGGGAGGATGGGCAAAAAAAGTGAAGGGCATTAAGAAGTACAAACCATCAGTTATAAAAGTAGTCACAGGGATGTAAAGTACAGCATAGGGAAAACAGTCAATAATACTGCAAGAACTAAATGGTGGCAGATGTGTACTAGACAAACTGGTGATAACTTCATAAGGTACATAAATGTCTAATCATTATGTTGTACACTTGAACTAACATAATATTGTATGTCAACTATAATCAACAATTTTAAAAAAGATAAGAAAAATGTTTTCCAGATTTATTCATGTATTCAAAGTAACTATTATTCATGTTTAAAATCATTGGCTTCAATTTCTGTTATCATAATGAAACTTAATATTTGTATTTTGCTCACTTTAATTCCTGAATAGATGTAGTTTGCCTTAATTCCTTAATTCCTTGCAATAGCCACAGATATTTTTGGGCTTCCTGGGCTGTATTATGATGAAAATTGTGTGGATGATGTCCTCAAATATCCTAGTTCTCTAAAATTAGTCACAATCAAGATAAAACGACACACTCCATCCTGCATCTACTCTTAGGCAACGTCTCCTCTAAGCTGTAGTAAATCCTGGGAGTTTTTCCACGGCATGAATAATTGTACCGATGGCCTTATGGCTAAGGGCACAGGGTCTGGAGTTATTCTGCCATTGCTTTAAAATCCCTTCACTGCTATTTATTCACTGTGTGACTTCTGGCAAGTTATCTGCCCTTTCTGAGCCTAGCTGCCTCATTGGAAAATAGGGATAATTATAACATCTCCCTCATAGGGCTGTAGAAAGGAGTAAAGGGTTGTAGATAGAAAGGTTGTATAAAGGAGAAATGCATACACAGCTAATGCAAGAGTTTCTGTGCATTTTAAATATGAGAAATGCCGGAAGCCACCCAGAGGTTTGCATCTTCCTCCATTTTCAACATCTTGCTTCTAATCTTAAGTTTGGTTATACTGTGCTACATCAGGGGTTGTGGCCAAAAGCGTTAAAATAGAAAATAGTAAAATAGGGCGGAATAAATCTCATGGCATAAATAAACTTTGAGTTTACATGAAAAAAAAAAAACAATGTAATTTAAGAATCAAGGGTGGGAAAATCAGAGAGAGAAAGAAATAGAAGAAATTAATCCAACATCTGATAACATGATCTAAACTCTTCTCTGTGTCCTATTTGAGGCAGTCCATGTGACTGGCTCATCAGTCTCAATGAAAACCAATTCCTTGTGGGCACACTGTGTGAATTCTCTTTACCATAATATCCTAAGGAACAAGGAGATAAATCGAATTCGATCATATAACCATTGTTCAAGTAATGGCATCTCTCATTAGAGGCACAAGCTCTCTGTTTGTAGTGCTGTCATTTTTATGTTACTCTCTAAGACCAAGCATAAGATGAACACATTATCAACTATATCTTATTTTCTCAGCATTAATCTGTTAGTGCTCTAACACTTAAAATATTTTTTACCTACTTTATAGTGAAATTGAATTATATCCACACACAAGTGATTTTTCCTACATTCTTTTAGTAGAGAAACTACTCTCATTTATCTCTCATTTATGGGTAATATGGTGATTTATATATTTTATGAAATTTAGTGACTTTTTCTTCAGAACTAGAAAATATAGCATCTTTGATCAAATTCTAAACTTTAGTGTTATATGTCATGACACTGAAACAATACATGTTTCCAAAAGCAGAATGTAGTAACTTCCATCAGTTTCATAAAATAAGAATATTAGAATCTAAAGGCAATCTTCTAAAATAGAAAAGGTATGCCTCATTTAACTAGGAGAGTTCTGTTCCAGTGTTCCAGTGTTTAACTAGGAGAGTTCTGTTCCAGTGTTAAAATGTTACATTTTAACATTTTTTTCTTTCTTTAAATAAATATTTTGTTGGGGTGGGATGAAGTGCAGGCCAATGCCATAACACTCCTTCATAGCATCCTCATAGTGAAAACTCATGCTCCGCTCTCAAACCTCTCCTCTGTTGCTTGTCTCCAGCCTCTGAGGTATTGTTCCCCCACTTCAATACAACAGTTTGAAAATCTGAAATTCTCTGTTGAAATCCAGTCCTTCCCCTTCCTTTTGAAAAAAGCAAAGGCCAAAAGGAGTAAAAACATTTTCTAAGCAACATAGTGATTTAGTAGTAGCTGAGACTATAATTTAGGTTTTCTGTCTTCCTGTTTTGAGTTTTGTAGGATAGTCTCCTTCATTTTAAATAACAGACGATGAGTAGTGTCTGCTTAGTCTTTCTAAAGTTTTTAAATGTTTATATTTTTATGCACATACAAGAGATGAGGCACTGCCCTACACTTGGAATTAGTTCCAAGTAGAGGCAGTTTTATACTTACTCTTGTGTTGTTTCGTTCAGCTTTAAGCTCAGAAATTTCTTCTTCTTTTTCTAGAAGTTGTTCCCTACAGGCATTTAATTCTTTTGTCAGTGCAGCAAATTCCTGAAAGGGGAATAAAAATGTTTGAATACATATTCTATATATGAAAAAAATTCAAAGTATAAGCTTTTGATGGAAAAAAATGACTCAATCGACTGTCCAATATATGTATGTTGCTGTTATTAACTTGCTTCCAATGTAAAGCTAATCCATGATATTTAACATACACATTTTATTATGGCATACTGCTCAGATTAATGTATAAAATATATTTCAAAATGCATCATATTCAACATTAACATTACTGTAATAGGATACTAATAATATAGAATGATTTAAATTTGACTAATTTTATGAACAACTCAAAAAATCTTACATTTTTACTCCAATATAGCAATGTCCCAACTGATTATACTAGATCATCAAAAACCAAAACAAAACAAAACAAAAAAACAAAAAACACCACCAACACCAACAAAAACGACAAAAAATTCTTCTGAATGTGATATTTACAGATTATAAGATCATTTATTTGTTAACAAGATGGAGAATATACCTGTCTCTTGCAAAATAATAAATGTATCTAAGACTCGATATCATTATCCAAGAGTCTCATTAATTTATGCATTGCTTTCCTTTTGAAATGTAAGGTCCATGTGAAATGGGACTTTGTCTGACTTCACTGCTACACTCCCAATGTATAAGACATAATGGGTACTCAATTATTATTTATTTTCAAAAAATTAAAATGAGTCATGTTGTTATAAAAAACTGGGAGTTTTGGAGTAATCCTTTATATGACAAATTACACTTTGGAGAAATCTTCCATAGCTTCCTTCCCCCAAATGGGATCACAGATTATATAACATGGGCATTTTTTACCATTAGACAGAGAGTTTAGACATGGTAAAAACTGATTTAAAAGAAGATCATGAAACCCAAGTTAACTATTCTGCTACTCTAACATAATATTATTTTAAAATAATTTTGAAAAATAGTAAACAGATCCATGTTATCATTAATCATTTAGAGTGGTTCTTAGTAAAATTGATGCTTGTCAAATATTTAAATATTTGGGAAAATTTAGCTGCAGGCTGAGAAGACATTGTCAGAAGATCAGAAAGAAAACCAAAAATGGGAGAGACAGGTTTGGTTAACTTAACCACCACAAAAGCAAATTTGGTATAAATGAATATGATGATTATGCAAGCTTGGAATGTTGAGGGTTTATATTTTTGTTTGCTTAAACTCACTTATTTTGCTGAGTTTCTCTGAGTGGCATCAGCCCAAATGGATACTTGAAAGCCCTCAGAGTAGACTTACAGCTTAGAATCAGGATGAAAGAGTCCATTGTTACAGTTTGGCTGGCATTACAGATAAATGTTTTCACCCTTTAATTGCTTCCTGCTTAAATGCTATTGATATTCTCTGAGCGTATTATTTACGTGGAAAAAGGAATAAATAAGTAAAAAACAATAAACATTTTCATAAAATTGAAACTTTATATGAACTGCATAATTTTGATGAAGAGACAAAATTCTGCATCGTATGTTAATATATCAGCATTTAAAATTAATCCTATGCTCGTGACTATTATAAGATAAAGCATAAATCAAATCTGTATATTTAACATCATACCAATTAAAAAAATCCAGGTTAATCTTTCTAGAGATTTAGCTTGCTATCTACAGAAAGATAAAAGATCAAAAGAAAATACTTCAGAATTTTAATATTGGATATTTTCAGATAGTGAAATAATGAGTTGTTTTTTGGCTTCTTCCTATGAATTTTTATTATAAAATTCTCTACAATGGAGAAATATGCCTTAATGCTTAGAGAATAAGAAAACATAACTCTATAAAGGCACTGAAACCATCATGTATTCAAAACAGGACAGGAATTAGTCAAGAAGTCATTGGTGACAGATGACTTTGTATTTTTTATTTATTATCATGGCATAGATTCTGAGAAAGCTATTTAGTGACTCTGTGTATTAAGAGTAGTCTTACATTTATTGACTTCTTGTAAATTTCAAGTATTATCTTCACATTTATTATCTCATCTTGTTCTCTAAATAACCAGTGAGAGAGTCGCATTCCCACTTTATAGCAAAGAAACTGAATTACTAAGAATTACGTCCAAGTTCAGGAAGCTTGCAGCTCATAGAGAGTGAGTGAGGTTGCGAACATAGTTCTCCAGACTGCTTGTTTAGTGCTTTTCCACAATACCATTTTGACCCTAGCTTTTCATCAAGTTTAAATGGTTCAGATTTGGAGTGCATTTAGCAGTACTCTTTTTCCTTATCTGAAGAATTAGACAACCATTACTTACAATTACCTTGCATAATCCTTCTTAATTAGTCCAAAGGGAGTGTGGGGAACTAGGAGGCCCAAGGCAGGGTACACCTTCCATGCAGAGCAACAAGTCTTAGACAACCACATTCTGCATATCTGGAACTGCAATAGATGCAGTTACCTCATATGGAGTTAAATTATCAAAAGATTTTACACTTTTTCTCTGATATTTTTCTCTTCTGTATTTACTTCTCCATCTTTACTGTCAACAATTGAGTTTTGCATCATCTTTTATCAGATAATAACAGCAAATATAATTAACATTGATTGAGCCCTTATAATATGTCAGGCACACTGTCAAGCAATTTATATTGATTATCTCATTAATCTTAACAAAACCCTGTAAAAATTACTAAGATCTCATTAAACAAAACAACACTCTTACCATACAATCCAGCAATCTCACTCCTCGGTATTTATCCAAAGGAGTTAAGAACTGTCTACACAAAAACCTGCACGTGGATGTTCATAGCAGCTTTATTTATAATTGTCAAACCTTGGAAGCAATCAAGGTGTCCTTCAGTAGGCGAATGAGTAAATAAATTGTGCTACATTCAGGCAATGGAATATTATTAGTGCTAAAAAGAAATGAGCTATCAAGCCAGGAAAAAATAGGGAGGAATCTTAAATGCATACTACTAAGTGAAAGAAACCAATCAGAAAAAGGCTACATACTGTATGATTCCAATTATATAACATTCTGAAAAAAGTTAAAACTACGGAGACAGTAAAAAAAAGATCAGTGGTTGCCAAGAGTGTTGTGTGTTTGTGTGTGTGGGAGGGATGGATAAATAGACTGAGCACAGATTTTTACAACAGTAAAAATACTACGTATGATATTATAATGACAGATACATTTTTGTATCAGTTATACATTTTTTTCAAACCCAGAGTGAAACATAATATAAATTATGGATTTGGGGTGATGATGTGTCAATATAGACTCATTGATTATAAGAAATGTACCACTCCGATGGGGGATGTTTATAATGGGGGAGGCTATGCATGTGTGGGGACAGGTGGCATATGGAAAAGCTCTATCCCTTCCCTTTAATTTTGTTGTGAATCTAAAATTGCTCTAAAAATATAAATGAAAAAAAATTTTACTGAAACCTAGAAAAATTAAGAAATTTTTCCAAAGTTAGACACTTAGTCAATGGTGAATCCAGACGATCCATTTCATACTGGATGATGGCAATAGGTTGTTTTTTAGCTTTCCCCTTTATAATTTATTCTTCTTTCAGTCTTTGTAAAAATTATATTTTTATCAAGATCATAATACTTTTCAGAGCTATCTATTTTCAAACATCAACTTTAAGCAGACTAACCTAAAATTCGAGTCATCCAAAATTTCGCCCTTCCACAATTAATTGGCTTTTTTTTTTTTTTCACTGAGCAATAGCAACTACCATTTTGTGCAGGAATCACTTTGCTCTGCCCTGAGCTTAGCATTTTATATGAATTACCTCGTCTCTTCCCTATTTTGAACCTAAGGATTCTAAAGCTTAGCATAGATGAACAACTCGCTTACGGTCACACAGTTAAAAATAATCCAACCTTATTCCAAAACTCTTTAATTTCTGCAACTCTGCCTCCTTCTGACTGAAAATGGAAAATCGTCAAATTCCTCAACTGTACCAAGTCATACAAATTTAAAACCCCTCTAACTATCCATCCACACATACAATATTTATTAGAGACTGTGTAAAGATGTAGAGATGACTTAGACATAGTTGTTGCACTATGAAAGACCTCAAAGATCTTTCGGAATTCACATTTAAGCCACATCGAGATTTCCATCACTAATAAAACCTATCACCAAAGTGCCACACACAGAGTGATATTAGTTATGTGCTTAGAAACACTGTCGACATACGAGTGAGACTGGCCCTCTAAAGCCTCTTTCTTAAAAGGTCCATATTCTGCATCTTCAACAGATTTTTCTTTCTTGCTTCTATTTCTACCTTTCCATTTTTCTTATCTATTTTCATTTTCTCTCACATACTGTTTCCTATACCTAAATACCCTTCTCCATCCTCTTTGCCTAACTAATTTATTTTTAAAGCACTGGCTTGCTTTACTAATGCTCTATAATAAATACCTTGTTCAAAATCTATCAATGCACTTACCGTATTGTTTTTATAATAACCAAATTATGTGTTCATCTCCTTCCAGTAAATAGTATGATGCTTTAAGACAAGGTTATCTTATTTTTATAACCTTAGGACTTCACACAGCTCCTGACAAATTGTAGACACTCAGCAAGGCCCTGTTGTAACAACAGATGAATGGTTCACTTTCCCTAAACTTTTTGACTTTACTACCAAAACATTTTTTAAAAGGTATAAAGTTACTTCATTTTCCAAGTGAGATTATTAAAATTTGCTCAATATATAACATGTTTGATATTCACTTTACTTTGTAGCTATTGTTTTGTCTATAATCTGAAATATTATATGATACCATATTCTATACAGCAATGACATTTTGTCTGCTATATTTTATTGCATGTATATAAAGTGATACTATTGCTCCCGATAATTTTTACATGTAGATTTATCATTTGTTTATTGACTATATTATATTGGTCTTACTCATTCTTAAAGTGAAAATACATATTTAACCCATATGTTATTTCTCTAATCTTATTTTTTCTCAAAATACATTCTACAGAACAATATTTCCACAAGATTCCCAGAAAAAAAAATC